ACAACTTTGAAGACCCTTGCCCTCCAACGTCTAAGGTTTCCGGGCACCCTTCCCCCAAAAGCAGACAACCTGTGTGTCCATTTTTGGGTGTTGTTAGAGGTTGTACGCGGAAAGGGGCTGTAGGTATGGCAGGAATATTACTGCTGACATTCGCCCAGATTAACATGGAACTCCAAGAGAGTAGCTGCAGAGGCCGCTGTGCTGCTAAGCGGGGCCATACGAGGTTCCATGTCTCTTTGAGTGAACTTGCTGGCGGTTAGGAAGGGATCAGAGAATATAATCCCTATCTAATCTCTATACAATCTCCATATAGTCGAAGTGTAGTCTCTATATAATCTCTATAGAGTAATATACTCCCTTATTCCCTATTCACCCCCAGTAACGCTGGGTTGTGTTGTCAGTCTTAGCCTCTGACAGTCTCATGCGGTTGGCTGTGATAGCTGATGTGATTCCAGGAGGTCGTCTTACTGGAGCTAGTACGGAATAAGGCAAAAGACTGCTATATGATAGAGATGGACTATATGAGGATCATAGGGATTGCAATTCCCTACGAACCCCCAGTAAGTAGTGGGTAGATTACATCATGGACCGCATGTTGTTGTTTTATTGACTGAGCGGGGTAAGGGTCTAGCCGTAAGCATCTCTTCATGTACAAGGGGTCATTGATTGTTTGGGTCTTCAGATGTAGAGCATCATCGCTGCTGGACATCATGTTCTCATAAGAGTGGCGGAAAGACAGTGCTCAGCGAGCGCACGATCCTAGATAGTCTCCCTCCACCCCCACCACGCCTTTGAATCATGATGTAGGAACCTACGCGCTTTCAGGCTTAAAGCTAGGACAGCTGGGATGGCCTAGTTTTGAAAACTGCGCTGCCTGTGCAACGACCCAGGACAGATGGGCGGAGCACATGCTCCACGAGGCTTTGGCTGCACTTTGTCTATTTGTCCTGATGCGCACATGATGTCTAAATATCAACATACCGTCGCCTGATCATTTCAGGTGCGGCTCTTGAAGTTCTTATGGCCCTTCAACAAATCCGCTTGAGAATCCTCTTCGTATCCCTATGCCTAGGGGTCGTGGCCGGCACTGTGGATTCTGGATTGGAGCGGCAAGCCCGGAGCAACTTCAAGCAAGCACTGTGGGGTAGTGGGACTTCAGTTTGAGATCCCTATGCAGACCTGGCATGTGTGGGCACTTACGATCCCAACCTGAGGATCCCCTCGGAATGTCACTTGGTTCGGCTGCGAAAAAAGGCAAGATGAACTCCTTTCACCCCCTATGGAAGGATCGTGGAACTCAACAGAAACAAATGACATAGTTGGTAACATGTTAAAGCTTTCTATCAGCAAATGCTGACTCTTGACAAACCCGCGCAGGTGCACGATCAAGAGATGCGCACCCAGTTCTTTGCGGCCACTATCGGGCAAGACTTGATCAACAGGCCGTTGCGCGTGCATGCCACCTGTGCGTGCGGGGTGCCGAAGGATGCCTCCCTTTGCCAAAGTAAAGCCTGCACCCTAAGCCCATCAAAGCTAGAACCTAAACCTCAAACCCTGGCTTCTGCAGCCAAGACCTCCTAGAACTGGACCAGGCAGTGGCGACCGCCAGGTCCAGCCCCTGCAGTGTGGTGAGCTGGCGGGCTTTGGATTTGTTTGGTTCGTCTTGGGTTGTAGGTGCTTTGGAATTAGGGGGGTTTTGGGGTCAAGGGTTGTTCAGGCTTTGGGATCGTTAAGGTCTACATCTAGTGTCTGGGTATGACTCAAAAACATGCAGGAACAGATAGATCTATGCCTTTTGGATTCCAGGGACGCGGTACATGCATATTTGCATATGTACTGCTGGCACTACTCGCAATGTTCTTGCTGAAGCTCTCAAAATCGGACCCCAGATAGATCGATTTCTGTTGGTACGGTTTAGCGATACGCCAGCGTCAGGGAACGGGGGCCCCTTGATTACCCACATACTGGCATCCTGAGTACGTGGTTTAAGCCATAAGCCATTGCGGAATGAGATCTCAGATCCTTCCCAAAGTTTAATTTTAACGTCTGGAATAGGTTTGGCTCACACATGTACAAACCTATGGTGATCCATTTCACACTAATGTACTGTTCAGCCCGCACACATCGAGAAGCCAAACCTAAAGTAGAGGCCGTTTCGGGACAGAAAGTCTGACAATCAGACTTTCCCTCTTTTGACAATTCGAAGTAAGGAAAGAAAGGCGGAGGGAGAAAGAGGTTATACTAGTCCACCTGATCAAAGCATCCTGAACTTCTCCTTCAGTTGGCAAGGCGTGGTGTGTGGTTCTAGGCAATCCTGAACTCCCTTTGCCCAATCACTTCCTACAAGTGCATGTCGTTGCAAGCATCCAAGATGCGCCCTCTGAGAAACACTGTCTCGGCAAGCTGTACACACGGATTCCTGAATTCCGTGGGGAAGATGCAAGGACGCGAAGGTGAGGCTTTTGTGTGAGCAAGTTCATCCGACTGCGGTCGTGTTCAAGCTTGACAGGTACGTACAATCGGGCAGCTCTTGACCGAGTGTACGAGAAGATATGTCCAAAGAGCTTATTCTTTGCAGAAACACCTGAATGACGCGCGACTGGCTAAGTGGAAACTACTCTTTATGACTTTGGCATGCAGGTTCCAGTGAGTACAGCTGTAGGACTGGAAGGGTTGGGGGGACTGAGGAAGTACTACCATAAGCCCTATAAAACCCTGTAGCCTTCAGCCCAGATTGGCCCCAAAGATAAGAGATACTGAGCAACTTACTAAGTCCCCCACACTCTTCAACTAGGACCTCAGCCACAAGGCTTCGAGGAGATATTGCAGTCAGCAGTCCATGCTCTCACCCCATCCCAAGCTCCACATGGGCTGGTGTGGACAACATTTGTTTGGCTGTACCCCATATACACAAACTGCGGAAGCATCACGTGTCAAGAGCCTACAAATCAGGGCTACACCCCATCCCTAACTAAGCAGCCGTGGGAATTTGTGACAGTTGCCGTCTTTTCTATACGCGCTTTCAGTGAAGCATGTCAGGCCCAAACAGCAACTGAATTCGTTGTTGCAAATAGTATGAAAGGAATGACATATCAATCCGAAGAAACCTTTGTTTGCGCAAAGAACTCGACTGGGACGACGCAGCACTCTATTTTGAGCTTTTCTTGTGCTGGTAGTGCCCAAGCCCTCAAACTTGGACCAATTGTGGGGTGTGGAGGGGTGAGCGTAGATCCCTGTGAAGGGGACAATTTTCAAGGCAGCGAGCCAAGTCCAAAACGAGAGATGGTGACACAACACCGCAACATGAGAGTTAACAGCTTTCTCATGAGAGTGCGTAGGGTGAGGGAGCCAAGAGACATACAGCTAAGTGGGCGGTATGAGGGTGTCGCACGATGTCGCAGGGGTCCCTCTTAAGGAAAGTGCTTGGATGATGTGCAGAAACTGCTGGTTGCAGCTTTGGAACAGCATGAAAGCTAAGGATCTGTGGGAGATCCCCAGTTTGGATCTTTGCATGTAAGCCTTAATTCCGGTATTCTAGGCGCTTGTGCTGTAGAAGACATTACAAAGCATGGTTTCTGCGTCTTAGCAGGAACTACAACGCTTGTTTTTCCCTTGCGGCTGCTTATGATGACAATCCCCTGTTCGTCGCCTTGTTCTAAGAGTGAAAACTGATGTCAGCTTATGATGGCATACAAGGAATTTGCGTTGCTGGAAGGAGAGGGGTATTGCATGTTCTAAAAAGACTGTAAGGCGAAGCCTAGACACCAAGACCAAAATCCTGACTCTCATTTCGCGACATGGCTAGGGTAGTAGGCTTAGCCAGTATACCGTATAAGTATACTGTGTACGGCCTCCGGAAATTAGCCACGTGCCTTCATTGTTGTGTTGGCAGATCTGGGCTCAGCATCAGCGGTTTCGGTCTCATAGCTTTTGCAACCCCTATTACAAGTAGTTTCCATTTTCGTTTCCATTATGAACTACCCGACCCCCCCCCTGCTCTATGGCTATCCTTCGCCTTAGCGGCTTCTTGCTGCGTATCTTGCTACAAGTCAGCGCAGCGCATGGAGTCTAGGATGAGCTAAGGATTAGGCGCTCGCGAGGTTGAGTCAGGGAGTCGGGGATGCGTAGTTAATTTCAGGCCATAGCCCCCTGAGCAGTGAGCCCGAAAATCAAAACATCCCATTTCGACTGCCCCCATTTCGTCCTGTAATCTGACAACACGTGTACCTTGTTGAAGCTTGCCCCGTACTGCACTGCGCTCGAAATACACCGCACTGAACCCTCCTTGCCAGAAACTGTCCTTACACCTTGCACCACTTAGAGTCCTCTGAAGTACTGCATTTTCCCATACAGGTGGTATGTTGATTGCTGTAAGAACTCTGACCTCCACAGTATCAGATCTCAGGATGGGATCATCAGGACCTAAAGTATGCCACGGAGGATCCTCGTCAGTGGCTGAATATCCGCCTGGCAGATGCGTCGTTCCATGGATTTAACACAGGGTAACAGGAAGTTTGACGGGGCCGGTATACTGTTTTTTATATTACAAGGCTGGATTTACTGTTCAGAGGCTGTTTTCGCTTGACTCCGTGTTTACCAGAAGGTTCCTAGACTTGTCCTGCAAACAGTCCGTGGGAGTCAGGGGTTATTGATTCATGGTTTCGCAGGGTGTTGCCACCTGGATAGCGTGCCTTTGTTGAATTTTGTTGTTGCCTCATGCGAGATTCGGCTGCCCAAATACTGCAACAGGCTGCCTCCTCAGTAGGCTGGTTGTGGCCGTTTGTCAATGTAGAGGTCCCCGACCTACCCCTAGAGAATCCGGAAGATTCATCAGGACTCCGTAGTCCAACAAGTAATCATGAGTTTGGGACACTTCTGCAACTCCTAGACCCCCTATACCCCATGTGTGAGCTCAAGACCAACCTGTATTCACCTGTAATCACCATAAATTCCCAGACAATCCCTCCCGAACTTCTGCCCCGCCATCAAGGGACGGCCCCATGCCTGTCTTTCTTTTCGCCCATGAGAATGGCGGCTCTGCCGACCGGTTTAGCACGAAGTCCATGGACCTCATCACAGGTGCCGCTCATTGCCATTGCCACAATCATTGCTACGGTAAGCACTGTTGTAACGTATATCTTTATAGATACCAAAGTTGATAGTTTCGACATTGCATCATGATCAGAGCGATGATGAGGTTTCAAGTCCAGTCCTTAGCGCACATATGCCGCAGCCGCTTTATGGCTTCTCTCGACATCTATTGTTCTATTGTTGCTCCTGTTGCCATATCATTGTGTCAATCCTTATCGTGTCGTGAGATTGCCAGGGCAAAGAAATGGCTTTCCGTTCAAGCTGTAATTGCCAGGCATCTATTGGACTCTATGAACTTTCAGAGTCTGGGCTCGACGTGTAGCATTCCGTTTCAAAGGGAGCATTCCGAACATTACAGGTTTGTTCAGGCGCTGATACACAGTCTTGCCCACGGCCCAAGTCGTTCATCACCAGCACCCATTGATGAGCCTTCTGTTGCATTGCAGGTGCTGGCTATGCATTGGTGAGCTGGGAGTCGATACCGAGCATATCGACAACCGCTCACGTCGATACTTCTTCCTGGGTAATCAGCTTTCACATTCTTTCAAGGGATGGTCTTTCTCTTGAAACTAACCGTTAGATGCCCGCTAATGCTAATGAAGGTCAAATAGCATCCAAGTATGACCCTTGACTGAAGCAGTCCTCAGTTTCCTGAATCCAACACCCATGGGCCCTGAATCTCAAATTGCAAACCTTTCGTACAACCCTCCAAGCGAAGCCAAGGTGTGTTTAGGGCTTGGGGTTGCGATAGTTTGCTGTGGATCTGTGTTTCTTTCCTTCTGATCAGCGCTCACCAGCAGAGACTACAACTCTGCAAGCCTTGACTCTTCTTCAGCTCAACTCAACACTCATGCACTTGCTTGAGGCTCGCGAAAGAAGATGAACATGTGTTGTTTGCACGAATAGAAAACTGCTTGAAAACATGGCGGTCCGTTTGCACACCCCAAGATACAGCTGTCCTCATCACCAAGAACCCAACAAGGGACCCCTAATTTCGGGAATCTCCGGAGAAGTTGCAGTCCGTAAAGCTTCACACTCAGGATGTTGGCTCCGCAGACGCTCAACTAGCCTTTGACTGGGTACAGGCTAATGCGGCAACCTATAACTTTGATCCAGACACTATCGTGCCCAGGCTTCTATTGAGAAAACCATAGCCCGGTGTTGCTGTACCAATATCTAGAAGCACATGTATGTTTCTTAGAAAATCGGCACACATTCCGTCAGAGGAATAAGGAGCGGGTTGAAGCAATTTAAGCTCCTACCTGCTTCCCTGCCTGGTGAGCTGAAGTCCAGGTTGTGGGAGGACGTTCGCGCGGGAGCATACTCAGCTGGAGGCTCGGCCACAGCAGGCACGAGGCGATTGCTGGTCTCTACTTCTACAACGCACCTGGATGAGAAAGAAGGAAGGGGTTATTTTGTGGAGCGGTAGGAACTTCTGGATAGCATTCAGATGAAGCTCTTAATTTTCAAGGTCCCAGAAGCAGGGGAGACCGGGCTGGGTTCTTACATGAAGGCCCGTTTCAGGTATAGGAGGGAGCAGGTGCAAAACTGACACACGGCTTATGGAGCCTTTGGGCTCCCCGGCGCTTGACGGCCTATTTGCGTGCGCATGAAACATAAACAACAAGCCCTCCAAGCAGGGCCGAGTTTGGTTTGGCAGGGTTCTTTGCGCCAAGCATTTCCCAAAGTACCCATGATTCGAGCAGCCCTGAATGAAGGTCCTAAACCCGCTGCAATCCGCAGAATCCACATTCCCAACACCACCCAAAAATGGGCTCGCAGCCTGGACTTGCGGCCGTAACAAGTAAGGCACTGCCAAATGGAGTTTGGGCGTTCCCGGATGTCTGGAATCCGCTCAATGATGTGACCGCAACTTGCTTCATTGGAGAGCGGCCTGCTCTTTTTTCAATAAAGTTGCAATACAACCTCCCCAAACCCGATTGATATCTCTCCACCTGCAAGGGTGTTTTGGAACACCTCCAAATCTTTCATTCAAGCAAACGTGTGAAACGATAGCAGATTTGCAAACACTAAGGGTTGAATTCATCAAAGGCCTTTTGCAGCACCAAGGCAAAAGTTAATGGTCAGTTAGTTTTGCGCACCTGCCTCAGGATGGATACCCCACCCCTTGTTTGGACCAGGTAGAACCAGGGAGGGTTGGGTGTAGGCCTGCACTTGAGGCCGACAGCCCCCCGCTCTACTTCGCCTACGGACCAGCACCAAATGATGCGGGCTGCAGTTGGAGAAAGTTTTGACAAATGCATGTAAGTAAGGGTTTTTGTGGGCTCCTGAAGATTTACATTATGGTTGTGCTTCGGGATGTCTGCAGGCGCTTGATTCCAGGTTTTCTCTTCCTGCACCGTTGGCATCCAACTTTTCGACACCAGTTTGGCACTCCCCAATCAAGGACCTCGGAGCCTTAAACGCTTAGCCCAACGCCCTGCCTCCCAAGGATGGTGACATCCACAACCCAGTCAATGTTTACCCCGTTCTGGATCGCTATAGAGAGCTTGGAATGCCTGGATGGGTGAATCTTACCCACAGCACCTCTGGCACTGGATGGGTTTGGAAGTAGGGCATTTCGGGTTGTAGGCATAATGGGGTTTAGAGACGACATGGCGGTTTTTAGGTTTGGGGTTGAGAGTTTGGGGTTTCATCATGCCCAAAGCACCTCGTAGTTTTACAAGTTTGTATGGGTATTATGACAATGGGATCCTGAGTGAAATGTTTGAAAATGTCGATTTCTTAGTTCTCTGGGCATTTCTTGAGGTAGCGAGCTACCTCAGAGACTTTGCATACACCCCATAAGCATGATCACATACCTCGCACCGAGCAGTAGCCTCTTCGTGCAACGCCCCTGATGGCCATAAGCCCTTTAGACGCACTCGTCTATTGCAACATGTATGGACCCAATCACGATCATTAGCAGTACAGACCCTCATCTCTTGTTGCTGATAAAAACAAGGCCAGTTTACATTCAGATAGTTTGTGAGCGCAGTGTGTGCAGATGCAACAGCCAAGACCTCCTGGAAGCATGCAGTAGGGCATGTAGGAGAAGAACGGTAATTGCGGAAAGCTACCAAGCATGATTAGAATTCCGACATACAACTAGGGTTCATATCTAGCAAGTCCACTGTGCCATGCCAAGCATGCGTCCTGTCAGAAAACTTGTTATCCTGGTGAGTCGCCGGCACTATCCAAGCCGCTATCGGAATCATAGAGTCATACATACTGCATACAGGCAAGGGGCTCTTGCTATTTTCGTTCCTATCCATCAGAGGGCAAGAACCTGCAGATTTCAGTTTAAGTGACTTAGGCATGACAGCAGCCCGACTTGATGCTTTTAATTTCTTCCCGGACTTCGTGGCTGGCTTGAAGTCGAATCTGGGTTGCATGTTGGGTTTATGGTTGCGATTTTCGGTCAAGTCGACGTCAAGCAGAAGAAGCATTCTAGATTGAGTCATACCATCTTTCCACAGGCAATATCCACGTGCAGGTGCTAAGCAGTCTGAGAACAACCCTGCAAATGCGGAGCCTCAAAGTTCGAGTGCATAGAGTGTTGTCTTGTTCATGATTATGGTTAGTGGCTTAGCTGCTTTCTCGAGATGTTGGCTAACTGTTGTTAAGTTTGGGTTGGCAGAGGACTCATCTGGACACAGAGCCAATAATTGACTTGCTAGAGAAACCCAATCCAGCTTTCCAATCTTCCAGCCTCATGCGACTGCAGAACCTAGGAATCGTTCGAGGACCGCGGCAAGGAACTCCGCAGACACAGGCATCCGTGCCACATCGTAGTAATTATTCTGTACATACCCTGAACAGCTGTACACGAGACCCAAACCCTACATGCTGCAGGCATCAATACGGCCGTGTCCAACAGCGCGGCATGCTTCATTTCTGCCTTCGCCATGGGTCTTTCACTGTCTTCTTGGCAATGAAGCTGCCAAAACCTCCGATTCTGTCGATCATGAAGATGTGCAGAAGTGGCAAAGGCTCAATGTGCCGGTACATTACGACCGAATTCAAGACTACCTGGTTCGGCCCCGCAGAAGGGACTGCATGCTAAAGCTGGCAGAGTGTGAGCACACATTTAGGTTGAAATGCAATGACGCTGGCGAACTGGCTAGTGGGTGGGAGCATTTGCCGGGTGGTGACCATGCCAGAGATGGAACCAATGGAGTGGTCCTGCGACGACTTTGGAGCTGGACAAGAGCCAGGTTTATTTCCCGATTGTCTCACACATGTTACGTACTTGCTTGATGAATGCCTGAAATAATTTGTTCTGGGCCCCATTGAATGGAAGGCCTGATTTAAGTATGCCGGCTGCCTACCACTCTGGCGCCAGCGACTTCCACATGTCCCTCATGCATCTGAGTCCAAGAGCGATCGGTACTCACAAAGCATTAGCAGGTCTTGGGAGGCATCGCTGTTTGGAGCTGGGTAATGAGATCTCCGAAGCAGCGGAGATCTCCCAAGTTAAGGGAACAGGAAGACACGAAGCCGCAGCACGGAGCAGAAGACCTGCAGGGCTCGCTGGGCAGGGTTGAGGGTTTAGGGCAATGACAGCTAGGCCATATTCCTGGCAGACCTTTGGGAATACTCCAGTTGTTCCATTGGGCTGTGCACCCAGTGACCTGCCCACAAGAGCTAGGCACGTTGAGGGGCATGGGAAGGCCAAGGCTACAGCTTGGAAAATCTGGGGGCGGCTAATGCCAACCTTTCAAATCCTTATTGCAGAGCCCCCACTATAATATTCGTATGCCTGAGTTGGACAGTGGTTGAGCAGCCGGTAATTTGTTCCTGGTTAGCCGGTAGAGTGTTTATGGTTGTCCGGGAACCCATCTGGTTCAGCCGGATGCGCACAAACCTTTTGCAGCTCTCTCATGCACGATACGAGAGTACCGATAGAAATAGTGATGGTGACACGCGAGGCCTCAGCTGGTCCGCATGTCTCCAACCAGCGAGAGACCGTAGAAAGGCTTGGTTTTTGGGCAGTTTACAGGAGGGTCGATCTTGTAGCGGCTGTTTCAATCCAGGTGAGTGCCTGCCACCCTTTTTCCGCAGGCGCTTGGATGTGATGATTAGCATGCATATGTGGTAGGTTCCCAAAAAAGGGGCACCCCCATATAGACCTGAATTACGATCATCTGTACTACAGGGATCCCCATAAAGGTACCCCTAATTGGGGCACCCCATGTTTGGTTGTCCCAACATCCACAAATGGGGTCAGACGTTCGCTCAACGGGCGTGCTGGCCAAAGAGTTGTACCAACGACTTGGGCAAGTCTCCAACCTGCTTGACTTCAGTGGTAACAAAATGAAATGTAACAATTTTCATAATATCAAAAATAGCAATCATAGTAAGTAATAATGGTGTATAATATTCATAATATTTTGGTTGATCATCGTAGAAAACAATGGTAATGATAGTAGTAGCGCTGCCTTGGTTGAAAGGATCCAAAAGGGACCCATGCACTCCAAGCACATGGTTATCAGAAGCACAGAAGCACATCTCACCACGTGCTTGATTCACTGATTTGAGATTTGAGTTTGTCACAGATTGTTTCCAGCTGTTACAAACCATGCCAGACCATGAACCCTGCACAGTGCAATGTTGAAGCTCAAGCAAGTTGTACCAATGGTTGCCTTCCCTCGCCTCAGTGTCCGCAGTATGGCACACCCGCACCCGAGTCTTTTGTTGTTCCTGGATCTTTGTTGAGTAGATGTTGGCATCCCTTATGTGTTGCAGGGTTCGGAAATTGTGATGCGGTCTTCCAGCAGTGACCTAGTTTCCACACACGCCCGGCCTCACTAATGGTTTTCTTTTGCTATCCTGGCATAACACAGGCACGCATGCCATACCTCAACTAAACTTCATGGCCCTGCTCCTATAGTGTCTGGGGCTCGAAGCTTAAGGGTTTTCAGGTTCGGCTGCTGGATTTAAGGTTCAGGAAGATGCGGCCTTCATGTCTGGTTTGCTAATGGTACCAAAGAACTCCGAAAGCGGGTTAGGGCAGGTGCTAGGGTGCGTCGCTTTAACCTGACAAGCCTAGACAAACATGCTGAACTGATACCCAAAATCCTTCACAGTCTCCTCAGTTTGGTGAGTCTAGGGTTCCTCGCTTCCGCATACAATTCTGAACATGCCCGAGCATCCTCAGAAAAAGAGCTAACTTACAACCATCATCACCCTCCAGGATCACGAGCAGGAAGCACACCGTGCTAGTCGCGGCAGCGCCATGCGAAGGCCATGGTGGCGGGAATGCCATGGGTCCGAGAGACGCAAGGGACCGTCAAACACCACGAAAGACCAGGCCCCTTTTCAGCGCACGGACGCAAGCAATCATGCCGTGCAAGAACTGGAGCAGCCGACCAAAACTAGCGCAGACTGTTGAAAGTCAGAGTTTGGAGGGTTGACGCACGAAAATGCTCAGGAGATTGTAGGTGGGTGATTTGAACTGCAAAAGTGAAAGGCTGTGGCGAGACTGCGGCTTGCAAACGGGAATGACGCAAGAGCGCTCGACTTGCATATGCAACGAACAGGACCCCTCTCGCGCAAAGCCTGCGTGACGCCTCACTGGTTTAATTGAACTGCTGAACCCGGCGGTGCATGCACAGATGCGCCAACAATGTATTACTTCTATCCTGAACGATATGAACTCGACTGCAACTGTTGCATTCAGGGCTGATTCAAGCAAAGTATCACCACGTCATTGTCAGTATTTGTGTGGCACTGAGGCTGCTTGGAGTCGCAACTCTCATCCTGGCGCGCAGCACGTATCAACTCGAGCTGTCAGGATCAGCTTGTCTTGAAAACAGGGCTTGTTCTGGGTTCCGGGGCAACGCCTTAGCTTTGATATGTTCTTTGGCTTCAGATTCAGGGCGAGGGAGCACTGGAGCTCTATAGGGAGTCTAGTGACTGTAGTCAAAAAAAATGGTGACTGAGCCATTTTTCGGAGCGTAGGGCCTAGCTAGTCGCTTCGGACTTGTAGAGTTCACGATCAAGTCTGGGCCCCAGCGGTGTCTTTGCTATGTCGTCCTGAGGATGTGTTTAGTTTGCACTCCTCCTCGAGTCCATGCTTCAGCTTTGACTTGGTCGTGCCTGCAGGCCTGCGTACTTTCCAAGACACCTCGTCATGATGATATGGGAGGTGATCAAATTTGTGGCCTTGTCTCGCATCTATCCCTAGTCTTGGGCGCACAAAAACGGGAGCATTTTCGCAACCCCCATATCGCCGACCTAGACGCCTACAGGCGTCATGCGGGTGATACTCGTCGTCATGCATAAAGATGCCTTTCGCAGGGGCTTGGACCCCAATGTTGATGTGTTGAGGGTCGGCATCAGCGTGCGTATGCTCCCTCTTCTGGAGAAACATGCTAGAGACCCAAGCCCAAAGACTCCAAGCCTCTCTAGACACAGGAGCTTTCGCTGCTCCGACACAAGCTGTCTCCGTCCGGACGTGCGAGCCAAGGCCGGCGCCAGGTGAGTAGAGGTCTGCAGACACCTTAGAACCCAGACCCTCAAAGGGATCTAAAGAGTAAAAGCCCTAGAAGGCTATGGGGATCTAAATAGGGATTATATGAGCCGGGGTCAAAATCACCGTTATTGCGCAGTAGCAAGGGNNGAGGGTTGTTCAATGAGTAGAGATATGTTAAAACCATTGCAAAACGATACGAGGCACCCTAAAAAACGATACCCCAAAACGATACATTCCAGACCTGCAAAACGATACGGGGCACCCTAAATGGATTTCACCACTTCCACAGACAAGTAAGTTCGACGCCAGCTCATATAAGGTTACTATGGCTTGATTTAGGGGATGTGATGTTTAGATCCTCCCGGGGGTCTGGGAATCTATTCTGGACAATTCTGGACAGGTTTGACGCATCCAAAGTCCTGGTATCGTCTGTAGACAATCTTCTCAAGGAAGCTTAAAGGGGCGCAGGCTCAGTGCTCAGGCCAAGGCATCATCCCAGAAGATACAGGGTTCTAGTTCTAGTCAGTCAAAAATTGTCAAAACAACATACCTGAATATGAAGATCTAACTCGGACTGACCGAGGACCTTGGGGCTTCATACCTGCAACTCTACTCCCGCGGAACCAGCTGTGCCTGCACGGTCGGGTGTGCTGGCCGGCTTGGCTTCAGCTCTTGGCCTGCTTTGTCGCTTCAAGTTCAAGCAGCGCACCAGGAAGCCTGTGAGCAAGAGCCCTGCTGGCTCGGTTTCTCCGAATGGTGTGTCCTCTTGGTTCAAGTCGAAGCAGAAGGCTACCAAGACCTGCAGCTTCTCTGGGCAAGCCTTCCTTGGTGACGGGAGCAAACACTCCAAGAAGGTGCAGAAAGTGGTTCGGGCCGCGCTGAAGAAGGGTGGTCTAAAAGATGATGCGGTGTTCCTGCTTCTCACCACGGAGTACAACCAGAAGCTGAATGCAGGTGGGCAACTGTACCGCCAGCTCCGAGGAAAGATCAATGCCGTGGCCCCGGAGTACCAAAAGATTGTGGTGGTGGTATTGGACCCTGAGCTGAAAGACGTGAGCAATTGGTCCACTTCTCTGCCTAGGTACCTGCAAGACCGCTGGGTTGATCTCTCTAGTCTGGACTGGCAGAAGCCACGTGAACCTGGTGCCAGCAAGGATCTCAGTACAGGCACGGTTGCATAGCATAAGACAGAACGCAGAGCAGATCATGCCATGGTTGCACGGGGTGCGGTCTGTCTGAAAGTGTCTGCCCGAAAGTCTTGCCCTTGTTTGCGCGAGGTGTCGAGTTCGTGCGTCAGTTTTTGCAGAACCCGTTGGAGCCCGAGACAGGCATGAAGCGCGTGCTCTTCGTGGGACCCACCGGCGCAGGCAAGTCCCTTGAGCATGCGCTGTGCTTGGAGACTATGAGGCTTTCGAAGCCAGTTCCGGCACAGCAAGCAAGACCAAAGGCATCAAGACCGCC